AATGATTCTTTTTTAGAAAAATGATTAGTATGATATTAAGTATGATTCATTGAATAAGCAAAATACCCTAAAAATCCTTAGTTGGAACATTAATGGATGGAAGAAAGAATGTGAAATAGATTATTGGAAAATTATGAGTTTCAGTTGTATTGGAAGAAAACTTGGCTGCGAGAAATGGATATTAGGAAGCCACTGTCAGATGTAAGTAATGCATATGACTTTTATAAGATTAGTACTACCAGTATTTTAGAAAGGGCATAAAAAGGTGGAATGATATTGGTATTAGAAAAAGAACTGAAAGGCATTGTGGTTTGCCCTTTTGAGGACTGGTTATTTGATGTAAGATGGAAAAACAAAGTTTATCTTTGTTTATGTTTAGTGTGAGAATCTGGAGTTAAGGGGAAATATTTTAACAAATTTGTTAAAATAATGTTTTAAAAATTATTTCAAATTTTACTTGATAAAAAACATCAGTCTTTGACTTCCTCTTATTCATGTTCCTCCTAAAGTAATTGTGCTTTATCTCACTTGACTATTGGCAAGACTGCCCGGCTTCCTTCTCATGTTGGAAGCATGGTGTGATATTCCAATGCTGCTATTGGATGAAGGTTAGTATAAAAGGTGAAAGGTCACCTTGCAACTTGCTCTTGTCTGACATTTGTATTGGATGTCAAATGTTTAGCCACTGCTCTTGTTTTGGCATGCTCGCCAAGCAACAAATGCTTTAGTCATCCCTCTCCCAGTTCTCCAACTGTGTGTGTTCATAGGGATGCTCAACTTTCCACCTCAGACATATGTGAACATCAGGTACATCAGGTAATATGATTTTATGTTATATAAACTCTCTCTTGTCAGGATAGACTTAGTGAGTTAGATCTAAATATCCTCACATATTTGATCGTTGAACTTAATCATTCTGTTTTATTATATAATAAAATTATAGTTATATGCTTATTCGTTCTTAGTTGATTTAATGCCTAATTCCATCATTGGCTCATGTAAACCACACAACAATAAACCCTCCCAAAATTCCGGTCAAGTTATTGTTATATCTTCAGCCACTCAGAAGATCAGATAAATTAATTTTCTTGCAAGTTGAGATGTGATCCTTCACTTTTCTCAACTGATGTCATGACAGACAAAGAAAGATCTAACCAATTTTCTTTAATATTTATCATCCTGTATGTGGAAAAGGGGTTAACCCAGAATCCCCCAATCTGACATGTTACAAGCTAGTGGAAACAATGCTTGATAGTTATCAGAAAGAGGAAATATATTTAATGGGAGATTTCAATGAAAAATAGGAACTTTGAATGAGATGGATTGGGAGAAATGGTATTAATCTCCTGCTGGATTATAATATTTATCAATGTTCTAAAGATAAATGTATAAATAAGATTGGATTTGAAGTTAGTAGAATTATGTTAACTGATAGGCCTGATGATTGTAAATGGGAGAATCAAAAAGGATGTGCAAGGAAAAGACTATACTTTTTTCCACTTACATAATCAATTACACTTCACCAGTGTAGTGTATAAATGGTTTGGCCAAAGAGAATTGAAAGTATTTTAGTATAATTGATGCTTTAATTAGAAATCACTGCCAAAGGTTTGAGAAAAGTTTATCATAGACAAGCAGATAGGATTGGTAAAAGATAGAAGAAGGATTGGATAGTTTTTATAGGTAAAATCCAGGATATAAGCTGAGATATTCAGTTTGATTCTAAGATGACAGAGCTAAAAGTGTTAATGGTGTTGAGTTCAATAGTGAGGTTGAGAAATCAAGAGAAAAACAAATTAGGCTCATAAGGTATGGGTTAAATGGTTTGATAATTTGTGTTCAGAAAAGAAGAATATGAAAAATATGCTGAGGAAATGGAGGAGATTAGGTGAAGAATAGATATTAAAAGAATATCTGCTGTTGAAGGAAATTTTCAGGAGTACAGTAGAACCTCGATTATCCGGACTAATTGGGGATGAAAGTAGTCCGGATAAGGAAAAATCCGGATAATCGAAACAAATACTTTAATTTGTCTTTTAATGATAATACAACACGTTTTCTTTTCGATGACATATAAAAGTAAATACTGTATTTAAACCGTGATCAAATTGTCAAGAAACAAATGTTTGTATTGAATTTGGACTACTACTGACCAAAGCTAACAGACTACCTATTGTTTAAAAGGCCCTCTGGTGGCGCAAGAAGACGGATTTTATAAAATAAAAAGCAGTTGAAACTGCATTTTTATGAATAAAAATTTGACAAACTATTTATCGTTTTATGACGAGTAAAATTTTTTCGTCGCGTTCGCGGCTTTTAAGTAATGCATAAACCTTCGAGGCGCGAGGCCCTTCGGACCGCGAGGCATAGGCGGTGGCCCACGTCGTCCATGCCTTACGCCGCCCTTGGTCATAGAAATGATGTAATTTGAATATAAATTATTTATAAATACGTATGTCAAGTTATATTTTTATTACGACGTAAAATATATTTAAGAGTTTACGATCAGTGGGTGAGACATTGTTGAAACAAAAAAAGTTATGCATTCCATCACGTACATAAACAGTGTCCTAATTCGCCAAGTGCAAATCAGCAAATTCGTAAAATTTTTATTTTGAACAATCCGGATAATCGAAAATCCGGATAATGGAGGTCCGGATAATCGAGGTTCTACTGTATTTGTAAAAGTAAAAAAGAAGAATCTCTGATTAAAATTAATTGACTGCTTACAAATTGTAAATCATCCCAAACATTTTGGAAGTGTATTTGTAAATTAGAAATGCTATTTTGGGAGTAATATGAAAACAGAGTTGGTTATTCATTTCAAAAGTCTATTGTTTAGTAATAATTTAGATAAAGAGATCATTTGTTATGAGACATAAATGCAAATTATTTGGATAAGGGAAATTTTGCACAAAGAATTAGAAATAGTTTTGAGTCAAGATAAGGTAAAACAGCTGGCTACAGGCTGTATTGCTATAGATTGTTGGAAGTTAGCAGATGAGAGTCTGTTAAAGAAATTATTAAGTATTTTTAATGAAATATTGAAGAACAGAGTATATTTGGAAAGCAGGAAAATAACTCAAATAATTCCAGCTTTTAAACCAGGAGTCAAACAACCTGAGTAATTATAGAGTGATAACTTTATTGAATACTGTAAGGTGTTTTCAATTGTTTAATGGTCCAGAATAAAAGTATCCTACAAAGGTGGATTTTATTCTTGGCTGAAAAAGAGAAAATCATATCTGATATACAAGCTTATTTAATTTAGAGAGAGCAGATTTAGATTATCAGCAAAGAAACAAATAGCTAGAGTAAGGTTAAATTGTGTTATATCAATGAAAAGTCATCCCATGTGCACATTGTGTTATGTAAATTTAGGAAACGGTGTTTTCATATATATTGTACCATAGCTGTGGACATAATATGTATGGTGAATATTTAAATATGTTGTAATAGGTCTTCAAATAGTGTAGTGTAATGATAGTTTAAGTTCAGAATTTTCATCATAAGCAGCTTTCAGTTTAACTTGTGTCAATTAGTGGTTTATCTAAACTGGTCATCTTTTTCCTTTTGAGCTTCTGCCTTAGCTCTTTCAATTTAGTTTCATTAGATAAAATTCTTGATTTGATATGATGATGGTGAATTAGTTTGGAAGTATATGGATAAAAGTGAATAGTTGATCATGGTGGATGACTTCAAAAGTTGGTTGAAGCAGCTGGAATTTGGTGAGATGGTCTGTGCAGTGTTATTCTCAACTTTTATTATTAAAGTTTGTATAAGTTGTTAAGCATAGTACTATACTGAATAAATTTTAATAATTTTACTGCTAAGTACTGTACATGTATTGCATCATAGTTTACATGTACTACAGTGTGTTAAATATGGTCAGTGGGTCTCTAGATCACCAAAACTTTTTATGCCTAGAAATTATTCATGGTTTTATCTCTTTTGTAGGAATCCTGCATCCCTACCCTCATGAACATAGAAGGCAACTATACCATATATACAGTATTTCTCATCTTAAAATTATATTTTTTATGAAAGCCATTTAACTGCAAATAATTAACATTTTTATTTCTCAAAAATAAATGATTAAAATAATTTTTCTATATAATAATGAAAAATGCTTTTAATATCACTCCTCTAGATGTTTATATTTTCAGCAAAATTAAGTGATTTTATTATATCTGCTATTTTATTATTTCTGTAACTCTTTACTGTAATTCATAAAAAAGTCCAGCAATGAGTTCTTAACTTTCCCAGCAACATTTTGGTGGCGCCATATGTTATGATATTTTATTAAAAACTTATAAAATGGCAAAAAGCTTAATTTTAAGGATAGGGATGGATTTTGTAAAAAAAAAAAAAATACTGTAAATGCTAATAACAAGTAAAATCGTCAGATCTTACTGGAGATACATATGACTCCATTATCTCCCCACATCCTCGATCTTTAACCACCAAAATTTAATAATATCAGTCCCCTAATAAACAAACCTCCCTGCAAAATTTCAGAAATTTTCGACAAAAAGCACAGGAGTTATTAAGCTTCAAAGAGGGTGAACAAAAGCGTACTCCCCACACAGAAAAAAACCCTGAATTTGCATTTCTCGATGTTTCAAGGTGTCCTGAGCCCAAGAGTGTAAAAATCGTGGGGGTCATTTTTTGACCAATCACCATACTTTCCCTCTGTTACATATAACAGCCAGGAAAGTAAAAATTTAAGAATTGGCACAGAAACACAATAGAGAAGCATTAATTAAATAGAAGTTAATATACTGAGGATTTATTATTATTATTAACCTATTACAATCAATTGTAAATGAAAGTTTAATAATTTTATATTAGGTTATTGAAATTACCAACAGAATATTGATAATTTTCTAATCTACAGTAATAATTGAAGAAGTGTCATTTTTGTAAAATAAAAATTTAAATATTGTAACTACAAATTAATTGTTTTGTGTGTGTGTGTGTGTGTGTGTGTGTGTGTGTTTTTTAATAATAGAAATTTATAACATTATTAAATAAGTACAAAAGAAATTTTCTGAGCACCATGAAAACTATTTTTTCACATTCAAACTCATTCTTGAGAAAATCAAATAAGACAGAGTCCAAAAAAATGTGATTGCAAATGCCTTCCATATGACGTCATGACCGAAACCCCATCCTCTTGCAAACAATGATCTCATGGCTTCTGCTGCAAATGTCTGAGGCATTGTGTAACTGACATATCTCAGTGCATATGGCATGGCTTCAACTGGCCAAACAATCCCTAAAAAAATAGAATTTAATAAAGATGCTTAAAACTTGCTTTTTTTTAAAGTGCAGTAGGATATTCTAAACTACACAAATCTCATATTTTCAGAATATACCTTCCAAAACTAAGGATTATATAAAGGTTTATTTCGTTAGAATGTGGCGGTACGCNAATCCCTAAAAAAATAGAATTTAATAAAGATGCTTAAAACTTGCTTTTTTTTAAAGTGCAGTAGGATATTCTAAACTACACAAATCTCATATTTTCAGAATATACCTTCCAAAACTAAGGATTATATAAAGGTTTATTTCGTTAGAAAACCATATAGGCTACTTTTACATCAATTTCAATGTATATTGTGGTGCCTGGTAATTCGAATTTCATTCATTTCAGGAGACCGTTCGAAGTCCAAGGCAATTTTTTCCATTGGAAACAGACCTTAAACGATCCCTGTTAATCCATTCCCACACCCTAAACGATCCATATTTCGATAAACTTAACATAGCGAATACATTTAATTTAAAGTAAAAATAACACAATTAAGTGCCCTGATAATAAATTAAAACACAAAAACAATAAATAGAATACGTAAATAATGTATAATAAAATGAAAATTGCATTTACTGATCGCGCACTGATTTTGGCATCTTAAACATTGCCGCCAACTCCCCCACACGATGTACTGGTTTCATGCTTCGCGATTAGTTCCTTTTCATCTCATCGATATTACAGCCTTCCTCTTGTTAGATTCCGTTGCTTCCACACACTTCTCGGATGCCATGATTAAGGCCCTGTACACACTAGGCGTTTTTCAACGCGCGTTAAACGCGCGCTTTTAAAGAACCAAGAGTTCTATGTAGCCGTACACACTCAAACGCCAAGCGCGCGTTTATATATTTTTNTCCTGGAAAGTGGGTAAGATATTACTTTCTATCCAGTATGCGTAATAAATAAATAAAATAAATAAATAAATACTTTCTACCTTTCTTAGTACTAATTCACAAAGAACTGCTGACATTGGGCTACCCATTGGTACGCCCCGTCCTTGCAGGTATGTTTTTCCTTCAAACTCGAAGAACGATGTATGGCAAATCAAATCAGTTAACTCCAAAATGTGCTTGTGGTATTTCATAGCATCTTTGATGTTAGCGAATAAAAAATCTCTCAAGGCACAAAAGCAAGGTGGTAATTTAATCAATGGGTATAAGGCCTTGTAATCTAAGACAGTCATAAACTCTTCATCGTTAAGTATAATGTTTTCTAGTTTCTGCACCAATTGTACTGTGTTTTTTATTGAATAGGGTGACTCCTTGATTTTTTTCCATATAAATTTAACTAGTCGTTTTTCTATATCGAAAGTAGGCGCATTGCACTTTTCTACTACTGGGCGTAACTGCAATCCTGGTTTGTGTGTTTTCCCAAGCGCAAAGATTCTTGGTGCCCTTGGTGCTCGAATGACTCCTATCTCCATATTTAAGTGATTCGCTAACGGAGTAAACAGGTATTTCCTAACTCTTTTCTGTAATGTTTCTAAATAGTTATCAGGAGCAATGAGACATTCTGTGTTGTTGATGTGTTCTTGTAGCTTCTGGTTATACGTTTCTCGTTTGAGGAGCACTATACCCTTGGATTTATCTGCCTTTATGAGCACTATATCATTTCTTTGTAGCTACAAGAACACATCAACAACACAGAATGTCTCATTGCTCAGGAGCAATGAGACAATAAACCAAACAATTATATATCAAGTAAATAGTTATCAACACAGAATGAATGTCTCATTGCTCAGGAACAATGAGACATTCTGTGTTGATAACTATTTAGAAATATATAAGAATGTCTCATTGCTGAGGAGCAATGAGACATTCTGTGTTGATAACTATTTACTTGATATATAATTGTTTGGTTTATTTTTAATTATTTTGGTTTAATCTATATATTTTATGATTATGGGCATGCGCTTTAGCATGAAGTTGTGAATAAGCGCTTTGAATTTTTGTATTTATCGAATACTTTGTTTGTTATATGATTCGAATTTGAACTGAGGAAGATTGCTAAAAATGGTCGAAAACGTTTTTTAACGCATTAAACGTTGTGCTGGAATAGAGAAAGGTGTTTGTTTATTGTATATAATTAATTCCAGTAAGCATTTATATATTTATAAATTTTTAATACTTTTTCATTAACAATGAGCGAGCACTTATCATATAGTAAAAAATAGTTAATATTAATATAATAATAATGATATATAAATGAATTTTAAACCCCAATTTAAAGATTTTTAACAAAAAATGGTGTCCCATTCAACTTCAATAAATCCTAGGCCTTGAAATCCTAGATCTGCCCCTGGACACAGATTGTGTGTATAAGAGATCTTTCTTGGAATATAGGGAGAATAGAAGGAAGCAAATGAACAATTTAAGATTGGTTAGAAAATGGAAAAATTGATTACTTTAAATATGATAAATTGAGGGTAATTTCTTGCAAGGATGGTAAGAATATAGAGGAGAACACTTCTGCCACTAATGATTCTTTTTTAGAAAAATGATTAGTATGATATTAAGTATGATTCATTGAATAAGCAAAATACCCTAAAAATCCTTAGTTGGAACATTAATGGATGGAAGAAAGAATGTGAAATAGATTATTGGAAAATTATGAGTTTCAGTTGTATTGGAAGAAAACTTGGCTGCGAGAAATGGATATTAGGAAGCCACTGTCAGATGTAAGTAATGCATATGACTTTTATAAGATTAGTACTACCAGTATTTTAGAAAGGGCATAAAAAGGTGGAATGATATTGGTATTAGAAAAAGAACTGAAAGGCATTGTGGTTTGCCCTTTTGAGGACTGGTTATTTGATGTAAGATGGAAAAACAAAGTTTATCTTTGTTTATGTTTAGTGTGAGAATCTGGAGTTAAGGGGAAATATTTTAACAAATTTGTTAAAATAATGTTTTAAAAATTATTTCAAATTTTACTTGATAAAAAACATCAGTCTTTGACTTCCTCTTATTCATGTTCCTCCTAAAGTAATTGTGCTTTATCTCACTTGACTATTGGCAAGACTGCCCGGCTTCCTTCTCATGTTGGAAGCATGGTGTGATATTCCAATGCTGCTATTGGATGAAGGTTAGTATAAAAGGTGAAAGGTCACCTTGCAACTTGCTCTTGTCTGACATTTGTATTGGATGTCAAATGTTTAGCCACTGCTCTTGTTTTGGCATGCTCGCCAAGCAACAAATGCTTTAGTCATCCCTCTCCCAGTTCTCCAACTGTGTGTGTTCATAGGGATGCTCAACTTTCCACCTCAGACATATGTGAACATCAGGTACATCAGGTAATATGATTTTATGTTATATAAACTCTCTCTTGTCAGGATAGACTTAGTGAGTTAGATCTAAATATCCTCACATATTTGATCGTTGAACTTAATCATTCTGTTTTATTATATAATAAAATTATAGTTATATGCTTATTCGTTCTTAGTTGATTTAATGCCTAATTCCATCATTGGCTCATGTAAACCACACAACAATAAACCCTCCCAAAATTCCGGTCAAGTTATTGTTATATCTTCAGCCACTCAGAAGATCAGATAAATTAATTTTCTTGCAAGTTGAGATGTGATCCTTCACTTTTCTCAACTGATGTCATGACAGACAAAGAAAGATCTAACCAATTTTCTTTAATATTTATCATCCTGTATGTGGAAAAGGGGTTAACCCAGAATCCCCCAATCTGACATGTTACAAGCTAGTGGAAACAATGCTTGATAGTTATCAGAAAGAGGAAATATATTTAATGGGAGATTTCAATGAAAAATAGGAACTTTGAATGAGATGGATTGGGAGAAATGGTATTAATCTCCTGCTGGATTATAATATTTATCAATGTTCTAAAGATAAATGTATAAATAAGATTGGATTTGAAGTTAGTAGAATTATGTTAACTGATAGGCCTGATGATTGTAAATGGGAGAATCAAAAAGGATGTGCAAGGAAAAGACTATACTTTTTTCCACTTACATAATCAATTACACTTCACCAGTGTAGTGTATAAATGGTTTGGCCAAAGAGAATTGAAAGTATTTTAGTATAATTGATGCTTTAATTAGAAATCACTGCCAAAGGTTTGAGAAAAGTTTATCATAGACAAGCAGATAGGATTGGTAAAAGATAGAAGAAGGATTGGATAGTTTTTATAGGTAAAATCCAGGATATAAGCTGAGATATTCAGTTTGATTCTAAGATGACAGAGCTAAAAGTGTTAATGGTGTTGAGTTCAATAGTGAGGTTGAGAAATCAAGAGAAAAACAAATTAGGCTCATAAGGTATGGGTTAAATGGTTTGATAATTTGTGTTCAGAAAAGAAGAATATGAAAAATATGCTGAGGAAATGGAGGAGATTAGGTGAAGAATAGATATTAAAAGAATATCTGCTGTTGAAGGAAATTTTCAGGAGTACAGTAGAACCTCGATTATCCGGACTAATTGGGGATGAAAGTAGTCCGGATAAGGAAAAATCCGGATAATCGAAACAAATACTTTAATTTGTCTTTTAATGATAATACAACACGTTTTCTTTTCGATGACATATAAAAGTAAATACTGTATTTAAACCGTGATCAAATTGTCAAGAAACAAATGTTTGTATTGAATTTGGACTACTACTGACCAAAGCTAACAGACTACCTATTGTTTAAAAGGCCCTCTGGTGGCGCAAGAAGACGGATTTTATAAAATAAAAAGCAGTTGAAAGTGCATTTTTATAAATAAAAATTTGATAAACTATTTATCGTTTTATGACGAGTAAAATTTTTTTGTCGCGTTCGCGGCTTTTAAGTAATGCATAAACCTTCGAAACGCGAGGCACAGGCGGTGGCCCACATTGCCCATGCCTTATGCCGCCCTTGGTCATAGAAATGATGTAATTTGAATATAAATTATTTATAAATACGTATGTCAAGTTATATTTTTATTACTAC